GAAATATGTAAAGAAATTACATCGCGTCAGGCTGTAATGACAGCGTGGCTGGGTAGCGCACACCAACAGCTGGACATCTGGTTAAATGCAGAGAGAGACAAAAGCAAGGCTGTCCCGTTTCCTACCCAGGACCACATCTGGCCGGCCCGCCACACCCCGTTTCGTCCTCACGCTGCCCTGCGCGGCCTCAGCGCTGACGTTCATCATTATCAACTGCACGGCCCTAACGCGAAGAACGCCCACATCCCAGTAGACAGGGCTGGGGGGGAGAAGATAATGTACCCCCGCTAGGCAGCGTGTGCTTTCTGGTTGTATTTTGTGGGAGTAGTTCTGCTGGCAAGGGATGACTTCCCAGAAATTCATCCTGGGCAGCTCTGCCTCAATAAGCCTTGAGCAACATGCATCCAGGAGAAAAAAAAAATCAGGGTAGAGAAGAGGAAACAAGCAGGAGTTCCGAGAAGCTGTTCTGAAACTCTCCTCACGCACGCTCCCAGTTACCACTGCTCTGAGGAGTTAGGAGCTGAACATGCTGGAAGAGCTATCACTGTCAAGTCCAGCCTGCAAGCTGAGGTAGATCAGGAAAGAAGTGGTTGCACAGTTACTACTCTGCAGCAGCTAGAGGGTGATTCCCACCTCATTTTAGCTGGTGTGCTTGAGAGCAGGGGGGCAGTAGAGGGTTGAAAAGAGAAGCAGCAGCAAAAAAAACCCCAACCAACCAAACAAAACCCCACTACAAACCAAAAAAAACCCCACAGTTCTGGACTCTCACATTTCAGTAGAGTTGTTTTGGTATGAGGCAAAGCCATGGGCAGGCAGTGGTTGCCCTTTGAATATACAGATCTTACTACTCTTGCACAGGAATTTCCAGAACTCCCTGCACTGGTTCTCTTTTATCCGGAGGAGTTTTGAAGTAGAAGCAACAAACACACCAAGTCAGCATTTTCTTGCACTAAAAGGATGGCTGAAGAGAAGAACCCAGCCAGCCTGCATTAAGAGCCCAAACAAGAGTTAAAGCTCACAAATAACTTAAATAGGAAGGGAAAGTGAAAGGCACCTCTTTTAAGGGGTAAGGACAAAGATGAATTCCTGGTTTAGGGTTCTCATCTTGACCCTGAAATAATTGAGGCAGGAAGTGATTCTCCACCCAACTTAGAACAGAGGAGTTGGAAGTAGACCAAGGTCTGCTCCTTGGCAGCAAGTGCACCTTCCTGGGCTTAGCGTCTAGATACCCAAAGACCCATTCCAAATCCTCTTTCTAGCATTACTCTTCCAATGCAAAACTTACTTGTATTGAATGCAGCTTGAATCAGTTCACTTCCAAGATTTGAGCTGTCTGTTTTTCCATCAGATCACGTTACTGAGAAACTACTGGAAAAGCAAAGTGAAGCAAGAATGGCTGAGTGGGAAATACAGCAACATTCCTTCACAAAACAGCTTGCCAGAGAAAAGCATGTATCCGATGGATGTTGACACATGGGGAGAAATCCTGGAAGCAGAACTTGAGAGATGAGAAACCAGTGCTGGTTCTTGCAAGTCAAGAGCCTTCTATCAACAACTCACAGACTGCCAAACTGTAAATATTTTGCCATTCAAAAATCAGTTGTGTTTGCAAACTTATGAAGATAGCTTTTAAAAAAAAAGTTAAGTCTTTTTTTTATTTGCACTTTATCCGATTTTCTGTAAAATTCTAAATAAGACTAAATATTTAGTTCTAATTTTATATTTGTAAATTTAATGTTCTGCTGTATTGTCAAAAAGATGTTGATTGTACTTTCAATTTGCACTTTTTATTTTGGAAGAGATTATTTTAAAAGAGAAGCGTGTTTGACTTGAAGTGTATCATATCAGCAGCATAACATGAGAGCCCACAAAGGAAGGCTGGGGAAGGGACAAAGCCAGACATTGGAAAGAAGAGGACAAGGCAGTCACCTCAGGATCAGCTGAATATCCCCAGTGCCCATCTCAAGGGACAGAGCCCTCACGAGGATCTTCTCTGATCCTGCACCCACGGAGGTATTGGCAGACACCTCCTAACCTAGGGTTAGGGTTATCGCACTGCCCAGCTGTGGGATTTCTGGATTAGGACTCACAGATGCAGGCAACGGGCAGGACTGAAGCAGCCACGTAACTAACAGTCTGTCTGCCATTAGCTATGCATTTTAGTCATTTGCATGATGAGGAGTAGAGCAAAATTTTCTACTTTAAACAAAACTCAGATAACTGTACGAGATAGCACAACTTCATATATTTTTGTAGTCAGGCTGAAACACATTCAGAAACTCATTTTTTTCCTGTATGATGATCTCCCATCACACAGACCCTGCTTTACCAACACCAATTTTTGGCACTGACTTTAAAAACTGCTGCTAGTAAAAGAGGAGATGCCTGTCACATTACTCAACATAAAAGTGACCACAAAATCAATTTATTACAATTCTGTTTGAATATCACCTTTCCCTGCCTACTTTGCACTAAAGAGTAAAGTAAGGGGGAAAATGCTGGGAAGGTCCCTATTGCTTGAGGTATTCCTACAAAATTCAGTCACCAATTTGGGACCAATTTTCTATAAGAAAATTTCTACCATGCTTATGAAACTTAGTTAATATGAAGTGATTTCTAATCAATTACTGGGGACTTTGGCAGAGGACCTTCTGGCAACATAAGGACAGAAGTGTCCTGTCCTGACCATGAGGTTCAATGGCACTAGATCAGGCTTCTGTTAGATACAGAATTTACTTAAATGAGGTTCAACCCTTAC